ATGTTTTTAGAGAAAAACCCTAGGGATCTTATCTTCTATCTTAGTTTCTCTCTAATTTTCTTTTCCTTTTTAGTCAAAAACGAGTTTGTTAAGAGATATCTAGAGGATTGAATCAACTTAAAGCTGTTTTTTATCATCTCATCTTCTTATCTTTGCTCCTAATCATGTTTAACATCATCTCTTGCAAAAGATTAGGTGTGTTAAGCATGATTAGTGAGTAGTCTTCATTTAAGCTTTTAGGTGTGTAGATCAAGGTGCTTTGATGCTTGATTTATGATGTTTAGGTTCTAGATTCTCATTTTATTTCCTTAGTTAGCTGCTCGTAATGCTAGATCTTTGCACATCACTCTGATCTAGACCTTAGGCATTTCTCCACCCACAAGGTGTTTGATGAAATGCCTGAAAGAGCTAAGCTAAGGGTTTATGCCTTTTTATCATGAGAGTGATAGTTTAATGCATAAATGACATATTAGAACTGTTTCTTAATGCTCATTAGTTCATATTTCACAAATGGAAATTTGGTTTGAAAGTGGATTAATGTAGAGATTAATACCTTCATGAGAGGATTAATCTAGATTAGAGTTCTAAGTTGAAATGTTTTGAGATCATGTGATTGCTTGCTATGTCTTTCTGTATAAGATTCAGTCTTTCTTTGTAGAGACTGTTTGGTCACTTATTGGGCTTGGTACATTATGCTTGTTAATTACTTGGTTATATCTAATGGTTGTTAGACTTGATTAAGTGATTTGCAAAGGGATTTCTGTCGTGAGAGTGGATTAATCTATCTTTGAAGTCTAGACTAAAGAGTAACAAGTATTGCATCATGTTCTTCGCATCATGGATCAACATTGAAAACATCCTAATCAATGATCACATCTAGAGGTTTGTCTTTTATCATTTGCTTAATCATCTTCTTTCTTGTTTAGCTTGCTTTGTTTAGTTCATTTATCATTGCATTGCTTGCTTGTTTTCTGTTTTATTGCTTCTTTGTTACTTTGTTCACCAAAAACCTTTCTTATTTCACTTGACTTAAGAACTTGTCACATAAACTAGTGTCTAACTACCACACATTCGGATTGATACCCTTTATGCTACAACAGCAAAGGGATTGATAACCCTTCTAAGAGCCTAAAAAATTCTTAGTTATCAGATCTCAGAGATAAGGTTGATAAAATCAAGGAATCACTTAAAGAGGCCAATGTTGAATCATCAGAAAAGATTCAACAGTACAATGAGCTAATGCAACATAAAGTGAGATTACTCGAGGAGTGGCTTGAAAAATCTGATGCAGAGATATTCTCGTATGTTCAGTTGTATCAAAAATCGATAAAAAAATTTCAGGAAACACTTGAAAGTTTGAAGGAAGAAAGCAAGAGAAAAGCAGGAGCTGAACCGGTCAATGATATGCCTTGGGATTATTGGAGTCGTTTGCTTCTAACTGTTGATGGATGGCTGCTTGAAAAGAAAATAGCAAGTGATTATGCAGACTCACTAAGAGAAATGGTTTGGAAGAACGATAGAAGAATTCACGATACGTACATTGACGTCAAAGACAAAAGTGAACGCGATGCTATCTCTGCATTCATCAAGCTTGTTGCATCTCCAACAAGGTAAACAACGCTTTTGAACGTGCTTTCTCTTGAGACTATGTTTATATAAAGCAGTACTGTTTTGAAAGTTGACAAGTTTTGATCTTTTTGACAAGAAATCAAACGAAACTCTGAATGTTTCTTCTAGTCTTCTCTTTGTTTTCCATCAATATTAAAGTTAAGCAAAACGTTGCCATTTTTGTGCCTTTATAATATGGATTAGGACTTGAATATTTTGAGATGCAATATAACTTGTGAAATTCATTTTAACTTTGAAATGCAATACAATTTTCGAAAACCAATTCAAAAACAAGAACCTCTCAAGGGTTCAACCATTGTGGAGGAAAATTGTTTGAGGTTCTTAATTTAATTTATTACTATTAAATTTAATAGTAAAAAATTATTAAAAACCCTTTAAGGGATTCAACCACGGGAGATGCTGGATCAAGCCATCAACAATAGTAGCCTATAATGAATATTATACAGTAAAACCTCTATAGATTAATAATGTCGAGACCACAATATTATATTAGTTTATCATGATATTAATTTATCTATAAATTAATAATTATTAATTTATAGAGGAAAATTGTTTTTCTGCGATTATCGAACCAGCGGATGTGGAAATTATTAAGGGAATCCCTATTAGCACCTCATATAGGTCGGATCATTTGGGCTGGCATTTTACGAAATCTGGGACCTACACGGTGAAATCAGGATACAAAACTGAACAACAATTTACTAGGTATTTAGAAGAGCCATATGGCCCAAATATAGAGGCATTACAAGCTCACACTTAGAAGGTAAAATGTTCAGCTAAGTTAAGACATTTTTTATGGCAAGCAATATCGGGATGCCTATTTGTGCCGGCTAGGCTTCGCACGCGTGGAATACAATGTGACATGCAATGTGTATGGTGCGGAGCAGAGGAAGAGACAATTCATCACATGCTTTTTTAATGTCCTCCTGCTTTACAAACCTGGGCATTATCCCAGATACCAACACCTCCGGACTTATTCCCAATGGGATCAGTATATTCAAATTTTGACCATCTATTTTGGAGATTACCGAAAGGTATAAAGAGCAAACATTTTCTATGGATTGCATGGTATATTTGGAAGGCACGAAATGAAAAACTTTATTCAAATATTGATATTGATCCTCAGATTACTCTAAAAATAGCAGAATCTGAAGCGGCATTATGGGAAGAGGCACAACGGTTGGAAAATGAGACAGGGGTATCAATCCCCACAATTAATGACGGTTCTACGAATTCACCAATATTCGAGGGTTGGTGGTGTTATACAGATGGTTCTTGGAAAGAAACAGAATCTTTGACAGGATTAGGGTGGTATTACTTTAAAGATGGTAGCCAGGACAAAATAATGGTGCACAAAATGTACGCCAGAGTTTAACGCCTTTACATGCGGAGGTGGAAACCCTCATATGGGCTATGCATTGCATGTTAGAGAACCAGAAGTTGGCGGTAGCATTTGCAACAAACTGTTCGGAGTTGGTGAAGATGGTGTCTACACCGGAAGAATGGCCAGCATTTGCTCTACACTTGGAGGAGATTGTGAAGATGAAAGATAAGTTCAGCTTTTTCATGTTATCGCATATCCCACGCGCGAAGAACACGAAGGCAGATAACCTAGCAAGAAGTGCTCGGGTCTACCCTCATGATATTATCTATGTAAACTCGGTGCCACCGGTCTGGTTAACCGAACCGTTTTAGACACTTAGGCTGTTGACAAAAAAAAATTGTTTTTCGCCTATTTTTTTTTTTTTTAATAACTTCATTGATATTATATTTAAGAATCTAAACTCATATGTTTATAAAATGATATGCACAAACTTAAAATTATGATTATTAATCATAACCATCGCAAATTGAATAGTTATTTCTATTTGTTAATCATTGACTGAATTATCTATGTAGAATATAAATGTTCATTAGTACAAAATTTATAAAACATTATGGCTATTATCCTTAACGTTGGTGCTAAAATTGAAGACAATACCTAATATATTTCAAAACAGTTACACGTAAAAAAATCAATTATCATATCTATAGTTTTCACAAATTTTGAATGGAGATTAAAAAAATAACATTATATAAAAGCTATTGATGTAAACAAATAAAAAGATAATTTTCAATAAAATCTCAAACTTAAATAAACAAATAACACATTAATCATATTTTAGTATATTATATCTTACTTATATATACATAAATTTATATAATTATTAATTTATGTTTATGTTGGGACTATATTTTTACAAAGGGATTTCAAAAAAAATTATTATCTTATTATCTTATCGAATTTGATGGATTTTTACACTGACCGACTCAGGACCAGATAAATTTATTAATTTATAGTGATTATTAATTTATCGAGTATTAATTTATAGAGGTTCTACTTAATATTTTTAATTTGATCTAATTGTATAACAAAATTTTAAATTATTAAAATAATATGAAAACAAATGTTCTAGAAGTTTCTCACAAATCTGTCAAAGTTTCTCATTTAATTGAGTTTGAGAGACTCACCTTCTTCTCTCTCTCTTCTTGTCTCTCTTCCCTTTATTATTACTCATTATTTCATTAAGAAACTATATGAGAAACTTTAGTTGTTTTTACAAAAAAAAAAAAAAAAAACTATATGAGAAACTACCACTAATGGTGTTCTAAGAATCGAGATACTGTGTTTAGAGATAAAAAATGATATTACCATTTTTTTTTTGTAAATTATAAATATCATTAAGAAAGTAAAAGATTTAGGTTTTATAGAATTGCACAATGTATCAAATTGGGCAGATTGGTTTAAGACAACCGCAAGCTAAGCTCGGAGGCCATCTCAGATATGACCAGTCATGATCAAACTAAGAATTTATTAATGTAACTCTTAGGTAGAGCGACACTGAGCCCAAACAAAGTAAACATGGACTTACCACTTTAATTTTTTTATGTAATTAATTGGCCACTAAATTGATATTATAGTCAAGTAGTCTACTGGTCAGCCCTCGTAAAGACACTTTCAAGGTCATTAGCTCAAGTTATTATTATTTTTTTAAAACCAGAATAGCTTTTTTTTTGGCTTCCGGCCCTTGGATTCTGAGGGCAGTTCTGATCCTAGATTTATTATTCTATATGGAGGTTTAATGAAGAATATGGACATCGCAGAACCCTTGCTAATAGGTGAAGGTACCGTATTTGACCTCTCACGTATTCCCTCATGGATATTATTCTTGGGAGCTTCCTCTAACCAAGCTTCACAAGGGATGATCTGGAGGGAGAAACTCTTACCTGAGGAAGGAAATGAAGAACGCTTCACAACTTCAAGACACCTTAGAGAGGAACTAAGCAAATGAGGACTACCCCCCCCCCCCCCCCCCCACACCTATGCAAACTTTCGAGCAAGTCATGGATGATCTTCAGAAAGTAACCATCTGATACGTCAACTGTGATGATCCTATTGAAAAAGCTGACAGAATGAGCAGAGTCATCCAAGGTGAGAGGGATAGCCTTATGGAAAAAACTGCGACTCAAATCCTTGTGGCAGGCTCTGCTAGCTCCTCCCGACCTGCACCGGCAATCCCCACAGAAGGTTCAAAAGATAGGATGAGAGACAACAATGCAACAGCTCCCCCGGCGAATCTTCCAAAAAGAAGAGGAAGACCCCCAAAGAAGCCTATATCGAACAGCCCTATGGCCCGTATGAGCACTTACTCGAAGAAGATGAGCATTCTCACACACAAATCTCCCAAACCCCAGCTGGAGAAAACAAGAGCTCCTCTCTTCCCACAGAACAACGTGGTCTCTACCCAGAGATCGACACCTTCAGCTAACACCCAAACGGGTCAGAACCGACCATCTTTGAGTAAAATTCCATCAAACCTTCCTCGGTCATCTCAAGCTTCTCAACACTCGGCGGATTTTCAAGATCCGCAGAGTCCTATTCCTTAGCTGTGGCGAGCTGGAACTGTTTCAGGTTGGGGTTCCCTGCAATAGTTCAAAGACTACAGGGACTCATTCGATCTTCACACCCGGATGTCTTGTTCTTAATGGAAACAAAAAACAGTGATGATTTGATTCTTAAGACTCTAGACTGGCTAGACTATGACTCACATGTCTTTGTGTCTCCCCATGGGGTTGGTGGTGGTGTTCTTGCACTTTTTTTGGAAAAAAGAATTATCTATAACTATCTTATCTCAATACCATAACTATCTCTACAAGAAAAAAATCGTTTTCCAACGGTCCATTACGACGGTTTAAAAATCGTCGCAAATTGATAACACTGTATTTTGACCACTTTTATGGATCGTTTTGAAATACTTTTTTCTATGTTTTTAATTGCTTTTAAGTACTTTTATTACGTTTTTCTAGTATTTGTAGTTCCAAAACTCTTTTCAGGTAACTTAGGGAAAAGCTTAACAAAATGGATAGAAAACCAGATTTCAGCTCAGAGTCAAACGGTCAGAAGTTCACCCCTGTTTGAAGGCCTTCTCACCGTCTGATCCAGCTCAAATTTGGAGACCTTAAAGATGGAAGTATCAGCTTTCCAGCACACTTTACAGCATGGCAATCCAACGGTTCAATCAAAAGATATGCGAAGAGCAAGATGTCCCGTAAACCAGCCGGCAAGCGTTTCCACCCGCGGCCAATAGACCAATCCCCGCGGTCAGAAGCACCGCGACCGCGGCCAGCCACCCATTTCTCGCGGTCGCACTCATCCCGACCGCGGCCAGCTAACTCCAACCCCGAAGGCCCATTTCTGAAGCCCATATCATTTTCCCAGCTTTGATTCCGGAACCCTAGACCCTAGAGATGTCTTGAGCACTATAAATACATGTTTTAGGAAACCTAATTTGTATGCCCTCATATTTTCTTATTGTTTTAGAATACTTTTTAAGTTTTAGGTTTTAGGGAGAGAGACTTGTCTCTTGAACCCTTGTTCTTTTTTTTTCAATTTCGGTTTCTATTCTACTCTTTAATACTATGTTTTTGATTTCGTTCATCATGTCTGAGTAGTTTTGTTGTTGGGTCTAAGGGATTTTCGATGGGGATTTATATGTTCGGTGAGGATTCCATAAGCTTTTGAGCCGAATCTTAGAACTTTTTCTTCTGAATTCGTTTTTACTGCATAAGAGTAGCGTCATGAACTACAATCTGATCCAGATGCTTGGTGACACGAAAGTGTTCATCCGGAGTCAGATCTAGTTTGGGAGAGCAAAAAAAACATAGGAGTGGAAACCTACCTATGGGCGATTTGTGAATGCTGACGAGTCTTAAACATAATGCATCTCTTCTTTTCCAGGGCCAGAGTGGAAACCTACTGGTCAGGGTTGAGAGAGATAGTTGTCTATGATCACAACAGTGGCGTATTCATACGTCCGTGACTCCAGTTCGAAAAGTTTAAGCTAAGATCTTATCAAATTTACTCTCTAGCAATGTTTTGAATCGTTCATACCCCTGAGAAAACTTCCCTGAACCCCAGCGCTTTCTTTCTTATAGATTTACACCAATTTTCATTCAAGCTTTAGTCTAGTTTATTTACTCTTTCAATCGATTTTCATTCAAGCAATTAGGTTAGCCGTTTTTCTTATTTTTACTCGTTTTCATTAAGTTTAGTTATTAAGTCATTTTAATTCCCGTAGTTTCTTTTTAGATTTCGTTTTTACATTTTAAACACACCACCAAATCCCTCACAAAACTCGTCTGGTTCTAGACTTCCTAACTTCATATTTATTTCAAAGGCTTTTGCAGGAAAGATCCTCCTTCCCTGTGGATTCGATCCCTAAGTACTACAATCGATCAGCTGTGCACTTGCGGCTATTGATTTCATTTAGGGTAATACTTGATAACCCTCGACACCCTCACGACACACCACATCAAGTTTTTGGCACCATTGCCGGGGAAGGCACACGTTTTCTTTTCCGCAAAACCCCAAGAAAGGTTGGTAAATCAACTCTAGAACCCTTTTTCTGCATATTTCCATTTTTCGGTTATTTTTTTTCCACTTCAGAAGATATGGATCCTATAAATCGAAATAAACACTATGAGGAAGGTTTCTATAACACTCCTCAAGCCACCAGACGTAGAGAGAAGCAGTACTTACGCGATCTCTACGAAGAAATTCGAACTGAAGACTACAGAACGTTCCAGAACGAGCCCTACGTACCTCCAATGGCTAACCCTAGACATCCTGCTCGTCGTCTGCCTCACCAAGATGAAAACGTCCAACTCATTCACTGATTGAGTCGACTAGAGATGGTGGTCATGCACTTAATCGACGCTCAAGCAACATCAAGAGCCGCCCTTCGCGAGAAAATTGACAGCATGTCAACTCACTTTAACAAAAAGCTTGAAGATCTTTCTGCTCAAGTCAAAACCATCGAAACTCAAGCAAACAAGGATGCTGAAACTATCAAAGAAAGGATGGAAGCAGTTGAAGGACGAGTTGGAGAGAACGAAGTTAGCATTTGCAAAGCTAGTGGAAATATCCGCACCTTAGAGGTCAAGCTCGATGAAGCAGAAGAAACTATTAACGACCATAACAACCAAACCTACTCCTACGTGGAAGAGATTTGGGATGGAGTACACAAGGTTCAAGACAAAACAGAGGAAATCGACTCAACCGTGGACAAAGTAGTCTATGCTCTTGATGAAGTCGAAGAGAAGGTCGAAAAGCTTATGCAAGGACGTGAAGCAAATGGTTCGACACTTCCCATCAAAGATCTTGACCTAAAAGGCGAGGAAACAGAGTCAGAAGATCCAGAAATCAGTTTAGATGGCAAAGGAGAAGATGAAACAGAGGAAACAACTCGGAGTCTCCCTCCCGCGATCAGAACTCTCGCGACCGCGGCCAACAACCCTCCAGCCGCGGTCGTGAGCCTCCTGACCGCGGCAAAACACTTCCCACCCGTGGTCGTGCAGCCTCCACCCGCGGAAAATGGTCGGTCAGATACGTTTCAGCCCCTTTCTATTCTTACAGGTCAATGTTCATTGGATACATCTGCTGGGATGGTCAAAACCCCTCTTCATGAGCAAACGGTGTATGCTATCAGCTCCAAAACATCTCAAGAAGAAAATGAGGTACTTCCTTGCAACATAGTTTTAGCATATGAGGTTGAATATGAAGGGCACTACCTCGAAGATGAAGACTATCGTCTGTTCATAGAAGGAGGCAATCCAGACAAAATGGTGGAATTAGGAGCACCAATCTCCAGAGAAAGCCCCATTGAATTCAACAAGTTTGTGAAATCGATCCCTCTTTACACAGGTTTCGATGGTATATGGCATCTTGGTTGTTTGCAAGTTTTCTTTAGGTACAGCAAGGAGACAAAAGAGGATATCCGAACCTATTTTGGGAGGGCCAGATGTCTGACTTTTCCCAGAACATCACCTGATGTTGCAATTTATTCAATCCACCTTCAACGACCGGAAGACTGCAGCCACTACACCAACAAAATCAGCAAGGAAAAGCTCGACGAATTCAATGATGTGGTTTGAAATTTGCCTGAAGGAATCACCTTTTCCAGAGCTTGCAAAGACTTCATGATAGGCCATTACTTCTGTGAGAGCAAGGAATCAATCCCTGAGATAGAAGACTTGTTCAACCATGCATGAAGAGGTAAACCTGTTCGAACACTTCACAAAATCGAAGGTGTAGGTCAGTTTCTTATATCTTGTTCTATTAGAGGAGAAATGTTTAAAAACGTGCTTTGTGATTCTGGAGCTTGTCTTAACATGATGTCCAAGGCAATTGCTTTGAGACTTGGTATTAAACACCTGCGCAGGACTAGAGCAAAGATTAGTCTAGCTGATGATTCCAATGCAACACCTCAAGGAATAGCTCATGAAATTCCTTTGAGAATAGGAGATTGCATAGTGCCTGTCGACTTCTACATAGTCGAGACGAGAGATGCAACATATCCAGTGATTCTCGGATGGTCTTTTCTAGCAACTTCCGGAGCTATAATGGACTGGCCAAACAGGAGAATTTCATTTGCTAATATCGACAAAGATGTCTTCACAGAAGCTGTCCCATACAACAGCAAAGCAGGAAAACGTTCTGCAACAGAGGAGTTTGAAGAATAACTTTGGAGTGACGAAGAACCTGCTAGACAAAGCAAGGAGATGTCGAAAAAGACTTGTCTCAGGACAAGGTCTTCTTCATTGGACTAAGCCACGTCCAACACCAAAAGTCGAGCTAAACGACTTAAAACAAAAGCGCTTAATGGGAGGCAACCCATTTAGGTATTGTTTTCTTTAGTATTTTTCTTTGTTTTTCTATTGATCTTTTTCTTTTTCTTAGTTTCAGGTGTTTCTTATAAAACAAAAAAAGCCAAAAAATCAAAAAACCCGAAAAAACCAAAAAGAAGGATGGTCCCTTACTGCTCGGCCCAGCAGGAACCAAGGAAAAGCAGGAAGAGGCCGCGAAATAAGCCCCCGCGGTCGCAGACGTTCTGACCGCGGGAAACACCCCTTTGACCGCGGTCGCGTCTTCCTGACCGCGGCAAGCACAGGTTTGCTGCGGTCGCGTGGCTCCTGACCGCGGCAAATGGTTGTTGAGATCAAACCCGACCCTAAACCACTCATTTCACCTCATTCCACCTCACCAATCCCCACTCCACCTCATTCATCACTTTCTACCATCTTCATCACCACCTATCACCTTCCCAAACCTCTTCGAATGAATCCGGTTCATCTCCACCAGCATCCTGGATCCAGGTAAGTTCTCTTTGGACTTACCAATTCGATTATCTATGCATTTTTCTCATCCAATCTCGACTTGTTTCACACTGAGGACAGTGTGATTGAAGTCTGGGGGAGGATTTCATCCCTTTGTAACAACTTTTCTTTCATGAGTATTGCATTATCTACACTTTTTACATTTTCCTTAAAGTTTTTCAAAATCGGTTTTCAAAACAAAATACGTTTTTAAAAGGGAATGGTGAACATGAATCAATGATAGTTGACTGTGTGCTTTTAGACTGTTC